GTCAAGTCCAAGAGCTCTATTAATGTGAAATCTGTAAATGGGTTCCTAAAGGAATGTGGAAGCAACAAAAACAATTTTTCATGTGTTTAACACTCAGCAGTTTAAAAAAGTGCTTTCATACTCCTCATTTTGACTGTTACATGTCTGAATTAGAGATGGTAGATAATATTCTCATCTTACAGATGGAGTTAGGGAGACAGGAGGTAACGAGGGTGCCGTTCCCGCGTGTAGGGTCGTGGAGAGGGAAGCATGACCGTGCTACTGGAAATGTTCTTGAAGGGGCCAGGGCCCAGGCCCTGGGCAGCAGGACTTCAGGTCACAAGTACTCAGACGAGTTTAACCTGCGTTCCCGGGAGGGGCGGGCCGCGAGAAGGCTCCCAGAGGGAGGGGCGGGGCGGCGCGGGGCGGGGCGGCGCGGGGCGGGGCGGCGCGGGGCGGGGCGGCGCGGGGCGGCGCGGGGCGGGGCGGCGCGCGGTCGACGTGGCAGCCGCAGGGGCGTGCGCCTCCGGTGGCCATTTTGGAGGCGGGGACGCGCGGCGGTGAGCTCCTGCCGGCATCTTCGTGGTCTTCTCGGAGCCGTAGTCTTAGCACCCCGAACTCTTGTCCCGCACTTTGCAGCTGCCACGCAGATACTCTCTCGGGCCTCCAGGTGAGCGTCAGCCTGGCAGCGACGCGGGTGCTGGCGGGCGGCGGGATGGGATGCGGGCGCCAACGGGCGCAGTCCCTGCCAGGTGGGCGGGCCGGCCGGCCGGCCGGCCGGCGCGGTGGGATAGTTAGGGTCGCGTCGGAGCCCCGCACTCGTCGAGTCCCGAGCGCGGGCCGTGTGAGCGTGCATGGTGCGGCCGGGGCACGGGGGCCCTTGGCCAGACGAGCAGTCCCTGCCGCGCTTAGCACTGTGGGTGCGGGTCGTGGGTCTGGTTCCGGCCCTTTGCTCCGGGGCGCGGACCCAGACCGGCGCCCCTGGCCGTTTGGCTCCGCCTTCCAGCGCGCTGGCGGCCGGAGAGGGACGGGCGGCTGGCGCCCGCTGACCTTAACCCGGCCCAGCCCGGCCTGGAGACGTGGCAGAGCTTGCGGGGAGGCCGCTATCTCCAGGCACGGGATTTCGGCTGTTCCCGCCTTCTCCCGACTCCTGGGTCCACACACCGGGAACGGCCGTGGGAAGTAGCTTATTTTCCTCTAGGTTCCCCCAGCTTTTACATTCTGTTCTTTGTTCGTTCTTGGGACCGGTTTCCGGCAAATTTGCAAGATAGCTCCTATCCTAGATTGGCAAAATTTATATCCATTTCTGCCAGTCAGAGTAGGTATTTTTGAGTGACAGCATGTACTTGCTTGCCAGCATGACATTTTGGCGTTCCGGTCTTTTTCCTTTACGCCACTATTTCATTCAGTTAACATTTATGGAAGTTTATTTTGGGATCAGAGCTGAGAATGTAGAGACAAAACTCACATCCTGCTTTGGCGTTCGTTATCTGTTAGAACATCAATAATAATTGCTTTTAATGCTTTTACTTTGATCAAAGCTGCATTATTCCATTTCTTTATTGTATTCTTATAAGTAGCCATTTACTTTGTACCAGAAAAAGCATAATGGAAGCAAGTTGGAAGGGGAGGGTCAGCCAGGGACTGAGGACTCAATTTTCTAAGCCATTTTCGTCACTTTCTTTAATGTTGATACATTAGTAACACTTTTTATGCTGATGGGCGGTATGCACTAAAACCTTTACCAGCTGACACTTCACTGTTATCACAGTAGCTTTCCTTCAGTAAGAAGGCATAATGTTTATGCACACAAAATTTGCCTGATAACATCATTAAGCCATTTCTTAGTGTGTCTTTTTAAAAGACTGAAAGAAATTGACCCTTTATTGCAGGTTATAAGTTGTTTTTATTGCACAGGCTATTTTGCCAACACATTCATTAATTTTAGGGATCAAGATTATCTTTAAATGTGACTTCCAGTGGCCAGTGTAAGGATTTGGTAGCATCTGTAAGGAGGAAAATGGGGAGATGAAAAGAGGTAGCTTTGGCGGGAAGCAGTGAAGTCCCCAGAAGTCCCCTGTTTGTGTTCAAGGTTATCTCCTTTTGGTGTAGAGGTACTGAGTGAAAAGATGGTGCCTCCCTGATCCCTGGTCTCTATTTAAATGCCATAGATGTTTCCTCTACATGCACAACTAAACTCTCTGAAAGTGTTGTGTATTTCTACCTCACCTCCCCCCTACTCAGTCCAGGGGAAACTGGCTTCTAGCCCTGCTCTTTCCATGGAAACTGCTCTCACTGTGTTCATATCTTCAGTTTGGAAAATCGACTGCATTTTTTCAGATATCACCCTATTTTGGCATTTCTGCAGCATTTGACCCTGCTGCCCATTCCCACCTTGGAACTTCTTTGGCTTTTGGACACCACATTCTCCTGGTTTTCTCCTTTTTGGTCATCTCACTCTTCTCTGCAAGCTCATCTTTTGCCAGGCACTTTTTCAAGGATCAGTTGGGTCATCTTTTCTTTTTCACGTGGTGTTCTCTTCTTAGATAACCTTATCCCAGAACATGACTTTAGAGACTGTCAGTAAGCTGAAGAAACCTACACTTACTGCTAAACCGCAGACCACGTCAGTATCTCTATTTGGGTGTTTCAAGGAGCTTAAACTCAGTATGTCCAATTTTAAACAGTGCATAATACCCATTCCCAAAAAAGAAGACATCAAACATCTTGACCTTTTCCCATATTCCCTGTCTTAGTGAATGCATAGCCATCTATACAGTTAGTTGTGCAAGTCATGCCCCATATCCAGTTTTTGAATCTACTCATTCTTCCCTCTCTCCCCTGTCATCACACTAGTCTGGGGCAAAGCTTCTCACTCTTGGCACTATTGATATGTGGGGCCAGATAATTCTTTCTTGTGAGGGTTTTTCTGTAAATTGTGCAATTTTTAGTGGTATTCCTAGCCTTTACCTACTAGGTACCAGTAGTCACTCTAGTTCTGACAACCAGAAATGTCTCAGACGTTGCCCAGTGACCCCTGGGAGGCAAGATCACTCTCCTCCTCTCCAGCACTTGAGAGGCACTTGTCTTGGGAGTTCTCAGTTCCTGTATGAATTGCCTCTATCCTTCTTAATAGTCTCTCTGCATTTATTCTGACTGCCCTATGTCCCAGCCTTCATACTGTGGTCAAAGGAATGTTTTCAGAACACAAATATGACTTGCCAAAAGCTGGAATTAGCCTAAATGCCGTTCACCAGACCAGTAGATAAACTGTGGCACATCAATAAAATGGAATACTATTCAGCAATTAAAAAAAAATGTGATACATCCAACAACTTGGATAGGTCTCAGCATTATATAGACTAAAAAAAAAGCCGATCTCAAAACGTTATATGCTGTATGATTCTATTTGGGTAACATTCATTAAATGAGAAAATGATAGAGAATAGTCCGTTGTCACAGCTTGCGGTTAGTGGGAGGCTGTGACAAAGGGGCACCATGAAGGAGTTTCTTTAGGGTGATGGGACCGTTCTGAATCCTGATTGTGGTGTTGGTTATATGAGTCTTTGTATATGATGAAACTTTATAGAACTACACACACACAGAAACATACACACGTAGAAACAGGTGAAAATCCAAATAAAATCATTAGTTACTAGTATTGCACCAGTGTTAATTTCCTGGGTGTGATCACTCTACTGCAGTTAGGTAAGATGCTGTTGGTGGGAGAAGCTGGGTGTAGGATACTCAGGAACTCTGGTCTATTTTTGCATCTTTTTACGAGTCTAAAATTTCTTCAAAAAAGTTAAAAGACAAATATGTCATCCCCAGCTTGAAAGCTGTATGGTGCCTTTCTGTTCTTAAAAAACCCAACTCCTTGACGTGGTTTATAAGACTTTTGTGAAGACTGTGTCTCCAGTCTTCATTCTTTTTTTCCTGTTCCTTGCCGCATGGGTTTTCTTGAATGTGTCTTGACCCCTCTGCCTTACAGGGCTGGTATACATAGCTTATATTCACTTTTTCTGAAATCTTCCCTATTTACTTCCTTTTCCTTGCCTAATTAAATTCTATACATCTTTCAGATCTCTGTTTATATGTGACTTCCTTTCCGTACTCAACTGAAAATCGTATTCTCAAATAGGATGGTGTTCTTACCCTCAGAGCACATAATTAAGGCTACGGTTCATTGTACATTAGTGGTATTACTTGATCCTCTCCTGTACTGAACTGTAAGTTTCCTGTTTGTTTTAGCTTACATTGTATGTCCAGAGGCACCAGTACAGTGCTTATCAAGCAAGTGACTTTCACTGAGTATTTGTTAAATGACTAAACACATCAAAGTCAAAAACAGAAGTTTTATTTAGAAGTTTTGATTTTATACTTGAGACACACTTGAAAGTTTGTCATTTTTAAGGATGTTTTCCCACATTTTATAATCCATTTTTATCTTAGGACTCTGCTATTTAGTTACCATATAACATTTTTGCTGAAGTTAACATTTCTAAAAAATGAGACATATCATTTAGCCATTACTAAGTATGATTTTTAAATGTGAACTAGGGACACTGGGAATTGAGCACATTTCAGTTTTTTTTTTTTCATGTTAACAGAAATAGCCCATATATATAATGTTTAATGGGGAAAGAAGAAGTAAAAAAAAAAACTTAATATATTTTTATTTTAAATGTAATAGTAACTGGAATGTAGATAAAAGTCTAAGTATATTCATGTGGCAGAAAATTATATTAGTGAGTTACTGTTTGAAATTTACAAATAGTTAACATAAAATTATTTCCCAATTATAAAGTATGTGTATGAAAATGTTATGTGCATATTACGTGCATATTAAACATTGTCACAGACAATGTTTTCCTAGGAATTTTGACAGATCCTTTACCCAGAAATAAGTGGTATTATAAATCATATAGACCTCTGTGTCTTGATGATTTCTTTCTAAAATTATTCTTTAAAAATACACTTGATTACTGTGCAATATATGTTACATTTCTCTATTTTTACAGTAAACCGTAACTGAAGGAAAATGATGGAAGAGAGCGGAATAGAGACAACCCCCCCGGGGACCCCTCCACCGCACCCCGCGGGACTGGCCGCAGCTGCTGTGGCTTCCACCCCTCTGCCTTTAGGTACGTGGCGGTGCCAGCACCTCCTGTGTCTGGAGGGTAGGAGTGACACTGTTAACTTTTCTCAGAGTCAATTAAAAGAAAAAATACATAGATGAAAACATCTCTGATCTTTTGCCAGGATGAAGGGAAGTGACCTTTTTTATTTAAGCCTAAAAGTATATTTTGCTTTGGGTAAACTTCTGTTCTCTATATTCATACTGACTGTAAATCATCTTCTTAGGACAAAAATACCCTAAAAAGCATGTGTTAGTTTTGTCTTGTGTTCGAAGACTTTGTGATGATTAACCTTCTGACCAAAATTTTTGAGTCACTGTGTAGGTTTTTATGCTGAAGGCAGCAGGCGTGAAAAACGGCTCTATTTTCTTAAAAAATAGCAAAATGAATGAAAACAAAAAGATCTGCTTACGAACAGGACTATAACTTAATTTTCTGTAACTGCTACTTTTACTTACGGGAGTCGAAAGTCATTTGCACTTAGTCGTATGTGTTGTATATTTTAAAGAACACGTTAAAAAATAGTTATTGGGTTATGGTCTGTTAAATTTTTAAATTTTGCAATGAAAAACTAATGAGGTACTTTGAAAACTAAGTGAAAAGCATTTCCAATTTTGTGGGTTTTTTTCCTCCCCATTTTCTAGCTGCAACCAGTTCTTTCTCTTCTCCGAATGTGTCGTCCATGCAGTCCTTGCCGCCACACGCGTACTCCACCCCTCAGCCATCCCTCCCTCCTGCAAGGCCCTCGGCACCCTTGCCCTTCGCGCCGCCTTCACCGGTCCCCTCTGTTCCAGCCCCTACTACTTCCATCCCACCTCTTGTCTCTCCACCACCTGCTGCTGCCTTCAGTAATCCTCCTTTGTCCCACTTCCCGGCTACATCTTCTGCCCCAAGCACTCTTTTATCTGCACCCTCTTCCGGTCCTCCCACGTCGGGATTTTCCGTTGGGGCAGCTTACGACATTACAAGGGGACACGCAGGAAGAGCTCCCCAGACGCCCCTGATGCCGTCATTCTCTGCACCTCCGGTAACAGGTAATTCTCTTACTGGGGATACTTTGAAATAAATGACTACAGCTAATGTTTAAATACATTTTTTAATAACTGCTTTATTGGTAAATAATTTACGTATCATACAATTTACCCCTTTAAAGTATACGATTCAGTAATTGTCACGGTATTTACAGAGTTGTGCAATCATCACTCTCATCAGTTACAGAACCTTTTAATCATCCCCAAAAAGAAGCCCTCTATCTGTTAGTCACTCCCTACTTGCTCCTGATGTTCACAGCCCCAAACAATCATTCATCTGTTTTATGTCTCTGAATATACCTATTTTGGATCTTTCATATAAATGGAATCATACCATATATAGTCTTTTGTGACAAACTTCTTTCAGTTAGTATTTTTTTTTTTTTGAAGATTTTATTTATTTGAGAGAGCGAGTGAGCGAACACATGAGTGTGGGGAGGGGCAGAGGGAGCAGAGGGAGAAGCAGACTCCCCACTGAGCAGGGAGCCCAATGCGGGGCTCCATCCCAGGACCCTGGGATCATGACCTGAGCCGAAGGCAGATGCTTAACCAACTGAGCCCCCTGGGGTCCCCTCGGTATATTTTTAAGTTCATCCACGCTGTAGCATGGGACTGTACTCTATTCTTTTTTATGGCTCCGTATTCCATAGTATGGATTTTCCTTCCAATTTTGTTGATTCATCTCATCCGTTGATGAACTTTTGTGTTGTTTCTACTTTTTGGTATTACACATACTGCTTTTATGAACATTTGTGTACAGGTTTTTGTGAGGACATATTTTCATGTCTCTTGGGTATATAACTAGCATGGAATTGTTCACTTTCAAGAAACTGCTAGACTGTTTTCCAAAGCAGTTGCACCATTTCACTCTCATCAGTACTGTTTGAATGTTTCAGTATTTCTGCATTACTTTTTTTTTTTAACTTTCTTTTTTGCTACATTACTTTTAACTCATGTCTTTGATCTCTGGAGTTTTCTGTTCTCATGTTTTGACATTTATATTATCAAAATAAAGCTGATGTTACTAGTAAATGATAAATTTTGTGTGTTGTAAAATGTAGAGTATGTATAGTGTATGTAGTGTCAGATAAAATTCCAAATACTTGTTTTAATATTTTGTATACTTAATAGAGAGACACCAGGGTGATATTTGAGAGTCTTTTTTTAAAGCTTTACTTAAAAGGTTATCTGGACAAGAATGGTCCAGGGAGTAGGGAGTAGTTTTATTTAGCCCGGTAAAAATTTAAAACCAAATAAAAGCTCATGTGTGCCTTAGGTTTATGGTAACGGGCCATCTTTTCTAAGTCGGTTACACCTACCTTCTTGGCTTTCCTGGAATGGTTGTTGGACACTAGTATCAAAACTTCATCCTCGGCGCCTGGCTGGCTCAGTCGGTTGGGCGTCTGCCCTCGGCTCAGGTCGTGGTCCCGGGTGCTGGGATCGAGTCCCGCGTCAGGCTCCCTGCTCCTTGGGGGCCTGCTTCGCCCTCTGCTTCTCTCTCTCTCTCTCTCCCCCTCTGTCTCTCATGAATAAATAAATAAAATCTTAAAAAAAAAACTTCATCCTCATCATCTTTTGCCTGTTCTCATTTTAGGAAAAGAAGCAACTTTGTTCCGATTTTTATTATCCAACTTTGCTAATCTACTTTTACAAATAAAATTTTTTGCATAGTACAGGCATTATGTCTCTGTCTTTGAATATGTGAATTTTATTTTTTGAGTCAAAGTAGGGCATATGAAATAAGTACTAATTGTTACATGCTTTTTTTTTTTTTAAGATTTTATTTATTTGAGAGAGAGAGAATGAGAGATAGAGAACACGAGAGGGAAGAGGGTCAGAGGGAGAAGCAGACTCCCTGCTGAGCAGGGAGCCCGATGTGGGACTCGATCCCGGGACTCCAGAATCATGACCTGAGCTGAAGGCAGTCGCTTAACCAACTGAGCCACCCAGGCGCCCCGTGTTACATGCTTTTATATGATGGGCTTGGGTGCTCACATCAATTATTTTTATGCATTAAAGGGATTAGAATTACAGTTGCCCACATCCAGGTGCTAAATAGGACCAACAGGAAGTACTTTTTGATATTTTGTCCATTTTCAGAATGTTTGGTTAAAAAGCCTACAAAAAGGGCAAGAAATTTCTTCAGAATTTTGTTTCATTTCTGTTTTATGAAGGTTTAGGTGATTCTTGGACTGCATAATTCAGTTTTGAAATGCCTGAGTATATATTTACATTATTAAAGCTGTTTTGAGCTACTCATCTCCTATAGTGCATCTTTTTATAGAAAATAGTTTATGAAATAAATTACATATATTAGAAATTTTTGCCATTTACTAGGTATGTTGCCGACTCCCATTACTCAGCAAGCCAGTTTGACATCTCTGGCCCAGGGACCGGGAACCACATCAGCCATTACTTTTCCAGAGGAGCAAGAAGATCCTCGAGTTGGTAGAGGTCAGGATGAGGCATCTGCTGGTGGACTCTGGGGTTTTATTAAGGTAAGGGGTGTTTAGTTTGAAAGTTATACGGAACTTTTTAATTTTGAAACTATTAGATGTTCATTACAATGATTTTGAAAATATAGAATGGTATAATGAAAAAATAATTCTTTTTGTTCTTATTACTACTTTTCTATAGTTCTTCTCAGTCTTTTTTATGTGCATATCTGTGTAGGTGTAATTTTTTTGATAAGTCAAAATGGGGAAGTAACATGTAGGTACTATTTTGTATCTTTTGTTTGTCTTTGTCTAGCATATATCAGGAACATCTTCCCAGTCATAAATATTCTTCAGAAAATTTTTTTTTCTTTGTGGCTGTTTTTGCCCTCCATGCCATGGGGCATTTATTTCCCATATTCTACTAATGTACTTTAGCGTCCTCTAATAGTAATTCTTAAAAATACAACTATGATGAGCACTCTTGTATGCAGATCTTTATGCCCATCTCTGTTTTATTGAGGTTAATTCCTGATGAATGTCAGAGTGAACATTTTAAAAATTACTGATAAAAAAGACTCTCCAGGAGGGTTATACCAAAATAGACTGTCCCAGCATTTTTCACTTGCCAGCACTGATTATGAATTTGAAATAGAACGTTTTCTAATTTGATAGTCAAAAAAACATAACCTCGTTTTAATTTGCCTTTTTTGGTTACCAAATCTGAACATTTCTTCATAGGGTTTTTTTGTCGTTTGTATTTTTTCTTTGTGAACTCTCTAGTCGTGTTCTTTGCCCATTTTTGAATTGGGATGATTTTCCTTTCTAAATGAATTTGTAAGAGCTCCTCATGTAGTAATATTTTATTACACGCTGTCATTTATTGACGTTTTCTCTTTTATCATACATTTAAATTTTATTACCCTTTTGTGACACAAAAGCTTCTAAATTTTCAGTAGTCTTTTTTTCAGTCTTTTTTTACTTTTCATTTTTTTATGTTAGGAATGACCTTTTCCCACCACAGTATGTGGTAAATGTTCTGTGATTTCTTCTAATTCTTCTATGGTTTCATTTTTTTTAATAACTACCAATTTAATGTTTCCGACACTTAACTTTATTACATAAAGTAGAAGTCAAACAATTTTCTTCCAGCCACTTACCCAGCTGTTCCAGCATCATATCGCAGTGTTTTGATACGTCATCTTTATCTGAGTTATGCAGTTGTGTGTTAACGTCAGTTTCTGGACTCTGTGTTCTGTTCTGCTGTTTGGCCTGTCCCTGCAGTAGTGCCCTACTAGTTTAGTTATTGTTAACTCTGTTTATTATTATACTAATACTTATTGAAAGTCTACTCTGCTCAGGTAGGGATGGGGAATATGCATTGATGAGTAAAGAAAGGTCAGTTCCAAGTCTCTGCGTTCATAACGATATATCAGTATTTAGTTTTGTTTTTTTTTTAAAGATTTTATTTATTTGAGAGAGAGAGAATGAGAGACAGAGAGCATGAGAGGGAAGAGGGTCAGAGGGAGAAGCAGACCCCCCACTGAGCAGGGAGCCCGATATGGGACTCGATCCCGGGACTCCAGGAACATGACCTGAGCCGAAGGCAGTCGCTTAACCAACTGAGCCACCCAGCGCCCTATCAGTATTTAGTTTTATAAGTTTGCCAGTTTCTCTTTACTTCAGAATTTTTCTTTAGTGGTCTTTTCTGTTTATTTCTCTTAATGAATTTTGGGATTACTCTGTCACATTCCTCCCAATATTCTGAGGGTTTGGTTGCAACTTAATTATATATTAAATATTTTTAAATTGGTAGGTGGCTAACTAATTTACTACATTTGAGCTTTATGTTTCACAAAGATGGTATTTTTCTAAGATTCCTTTTTTTTTAATCCTTCTGTACTTTTTAAAGTTTTCTTCATACAGGGATTATTCCTTATTTCTCTGGTTAAGAGCATGTGTCAGTGTGTCCGTTAGCACTTGTACCCAGCTCAGCTCTACATGTCTTGTAAATCATTCTTCTAATATACCGCGTAAGATTGGTTGACAGTTTTAAATACCCGCATTACGGACTCCGCTTTTTTCTGACTCACCTTGGTTCAGTGGTAGGTTGGAAGAGGTGGAATGGTAGCCTGTTAGCCAGAGGCCATCTCAGGGGGCACGGCTCCCTTGAAGTCCTTTTTACCACTGGAGAAATATAGCATGTTAAGGGAAGACTCAGACCTGATTCCTTCTGTTTAACGGTGTGGTTTTAAGAATTCAGAGGAATAGATCTGCGTTAAAAGAGAATTTAGGAATTAACACAACAAATATGAAGTAGGAAAAAAGTAGAAACATTAGTAGAAGATAGAGTAATATATATTAATAGGTAACTTCTGGGGAATAAGGATGAGAAATATTAATATTTTTATTTTTTTCTTAAGGAACCAAGTATGAGTCTATGGAGACGACTAATTACAGTTTTTATTTGGGACCTTGATGGATAAGTTTTACCTGGTCTTTCATAGAAATAAGTAGATGTGAAATGAAATTAAAATACACAGAGAAAGGGCGCCTGGGTGGCTCAGTTGGTTAAGCGACAGCCTTCAGCTCAGGTCATGATCCCGGAGTCCCAGGATCGAGTCCCACATCGGGCTCCCTGCTTAGCAGAGCGTCTGCTTCTCCCTCTGACCCTCCCCCCTCTTGTGCTCTCTCTCTCTCTCTCATTCTGTCTCAAATAAATAAAATCTTTAAAAAAAAATAAAAAAATAAAATACACAGAGAAATAAAATGCGTGTGTATGTATACATGTATAAAATGAATACATATGAATATATACATGCATAAAATGAACACACGTGTGTGTGTATACCTGCTTCCCAGGTCAGTGCTCCTCACAGTGTGATCTGCAGACTGCATGGGTCTATGAGAAGGTGAGAAGGTGAGAGTGAGCATTTTGAAAACTTAAGAGCAATTTGACATTGCTGTAGCCTTGTTTTTCGTACATTTTAACAAATTACAGGTCGGCGATGTGTCAGAAACTTTAAAAAAGTTTTCTCTCACCATCAGGTGTTCTTTGCTTAGAATGGGCATTTATATGTTAATTTGTCTTGTGCAGGGTGTGGCCGGAAATCCTATGGTGAAATCTGTGCTTGATAAAACAAAACATTCAGTAGAAAGCATGATTACAACGCTGGACCCTGGCATGGCTCCGTATATCAGTATGTACTTAAGATAGAGCAGCATCTGCTGTATGTTTTTAAAGTATTTGCCTTTGTTAGCCTCTCACTGTGATTCCATAGTCTTGTAATCAGTGGAAATCCTTTTATGTTGTAAGTTGATTGTAAGTCTTAGTGTTGGTATTATTAATTTATCTTTTTCTTAGTCACAAATAAATTTTGAAAACTCCACAGAATGAACTTTGGGAGGAGTAAAACCAATATGCATTAGTATACTAATTAGTATACTTCAGTTGTAAGTAATACATTTTAGTTATAAATACAGTTAGTGTTGCTTTGTATGTATTTTACTTTATTCACTAAGGACACTTGATGCTTTGTTTATATTTGATTTTGATAATTGTCCAGTTATCTGTTTTAATTGTGATTATGCTTAACCTGGGAATAATATTTTTAGAGGAAGTTAATCTGTTTATTAATAATATTTGATTAGTAAGTTTTGTGGGGAAGCTATTTTAACCACCTTTGAATCCTCCTTCCCAAGAATTCTCCAGACAGATGACATAGACATACATGCTGTCTGCCGTTTAATTTTAAATGGACATGTCCCAGTGTGTGAAGAAACAATTGCTTAGCAGGATCAGTGAGCAATTATTAGTCATTCTGTTAAAGATAACAACTTGGAAGCCAAAGCTGTGCACTAGAATAGAGGTACTAGAACAGAGATTTTCAGTAGCAATAAAAAGTCAGTAGCTTTCAGGAGTCTTGATGCTGTTGGTGGTTTACGGTTTAGTAAATGTCAAAGAATAAGACCTTAGTAAGAAGTACTATTTACTAAGTTCTTGCTCTGCCAGGCAGTACTTAGGAACTCTGCACGGTAAGTATTTTTCTCAAGTTTGAGGTGAGGAACCCCTGGGTTCAGAGAGATGATTGTCCTAGGCCACACAGTTTGGTGGAGCTAGACTGGGCCCATATTCAGTTTGTTTTTGCACTTAGCCACTTTGCTTCCCTGAAAGTATAAAATTGAATCAAGTATTAAGTCATCTGAATTGTTTTTTGTGTTCATAACTACAAGAGGATTTAGAAACTGGACCCTGCCCTAGATATGGCTTTATCATGTTCATAATAATTGAATTTGACATAATTAATGTGTCGTATATATTCTTTTCTTCACAAGCTTGTATTTTGAATGAGGGAAAGAAAGGGATTAGTATTTTTGGCGTCCTTGCTATTTTAACGGGTACTGTGTTAGACTGTGAAAGCAGTTACTTAATCCTTAGAACAAGCCCTGTGAGGTGGCAGATACTTTACTGTGAAGAAACAAGCTCATTGACTTCCCCAAGGTGACAGAGCTAATGAAGTCAGGACTCAAACCCAAGGCTTATTCTCAGGCCAGTAGTCAGCCTGACATCGAGAAAAAGGCAAAAGACGAAGGGGATGGGGTTATAGGGGAAGATACAAAATGAAATGTCTATTAGCGAAATCATAACAATATATAGTCTTAATGAGTTAGCTATAAAAAGCAATAAAACTGATGTGAAAAAGTTGACACCTTATTGACAGGCAGCAAAAGCAAGACTATTCTGGTGTAACAAAACTTGAATTAAAGCTTAAGGTATTTTTACAGAAATATTCTAGAAATCACTATAACAGTTTCAGATGTATCAAGAAAGCACAAGAACTGTTAGAAGTGCATTTTAACACAGTTTAGCTTCCTATGTTCTTAGAATTACTTTTCCCATCATCATTAAAGGTGGCACTACTTATTACAGAAAGGCTGAAAAAGCCTTTTGAGCTGAAGTGCAGTGGAATGGTACTCAGGGTCAAGAGACGTGTCCCACAAGGAGGAAAAAATGAGTAAAAAGTGTATTTGTTCTCTCCTATGGGAGTCAATGCTTTTAGGTTTTAGTAACTTATGAAATTCTAGTAAAGATGGGATCTATAGATCATCCTATTAGGAAAAAAGATACTTGATAAAAAGCCCATGTATTTTGAAGATACTATCAGCTGTTCCACAACATATTAGGGAAAAGCATAGCATTGTTTCTGGGGCAAAATGGTTTACCATACAAACAGCTTTCTGGATAAATCTATTTACTAGTGATAGCCATTAATACTAAGTAGCAAAATGCGCTATGCTTAGAACTAGGTCTTTGAACTCAGTATGTCACGAAATGTTAGATAAAGATTTTTTTAAAAATTAGGTGTATTTGATCAAATTACTTTGTCTAAATGGTACATAGGTTTTAAAAATAATTGAAAATAAAAAGGTTTTAAAAAATATTTCACATCTTAGCATTTTTAAATTTCAAGTTTTATATATGTTGGTATTTCCATTTCCTTATATGCTTGCATATTAGGACAGTAATAGTTGTATAATTTATAACTAAATATCCCATTTGTGGTATCTGCTGTTTTTTTTCTTTTAATGATGTGGTTGTATGATAAAGTTGACTCCCACATTTAAACTGTTTCCTAGATAAACACATTTCATGGCAGTCCTCATTTAGTGCAGGCTTCTTTACAACTCTGACAAATTACTTGTAATCATCAATAACAGTCTTCATTTTCATTTTCTCTAGTGTATCCTAAATGTGTAACTTGTATTTCACAAGCCACATAGTTCATTTCTGTGATAGCTCAATAGTTGAAGAAGGCCTAGGAACTCCAGCATCCCCATGGTATTAGAAGTTTGTGTATAATAGATGTGTGTCTTTATTAACCAACAGCAGAAAAACCATTTTGATTTGCAGCCTTAAAAAATGCAATGTTTTATCCAAAGCTTAACCTTACTAGAAAATGAGATCCTGTGAAATTAATAGAGTGATATAGTAGAAAATTAAACTTTTTTCATAGCTGTTAGAACATTATTTCCCAAATTGACATCTATGGAAAACTTTCTGGGAGTGGTTATTAGATGTTAACATATTCCATGAACACGTTAAGTATGGAAAGTACTGGGTTAAAGTCAGGAATTTTAACTTTTGGTTTTCTCAGAATCTTGATGTTAATGTTCATTGTGAATTTCTAAGAAAGAAGTGTGTAAAATATTTCCCAAGCTTGTTTGACCACAACATGCTGTTTTAAGGTGGGGCTACTAATACATTCCGGAACAGTAGTCCATAGAAAAAAAACTGTTGTGTTCTATCTGTGGCAGATTGGATACTCAGAACCATTAGAAGATATGTGCTATCTTCTGCTTGCAGATGAGACTCCCTTAGATAATGCATTAAGTGCTCATTTTTAAGTCAGGAAAAGTGGTAGTTTGGGTCTAAGCACTTAGAATAAGATGCTTTTAGATGAGGAGATGAAAACGTGTGTGATGGATCCGCTGTGTAGTGAAAAGAAGATTTTGGTATGTGACAGACCTAGGTTTGAGTCCCGACATCATTGCTAAGTAAGTAGCTGTGTTACCTTTGGCAAGGCCTTATCAATCATAGTTTCCTCAGCCTATAAAAAAGTTCATCATCTGTATCTTGCTGTATTTTGTGAGGTCAGTAATAATTATGTAATAAAATGTTAGCATATGGTATTGCTTACGAGAATTTCATTATATTAATTTGGAATTGAAATTTTCTTCTGATCTTTCTAGAATCTGGAGGTGAACTGGATATTGTAGTGACCTCAAATAAAGAAGTAAAAGTTGCTGCCGTCCGAGATGCCTTCCAGGAGGTGTTTGGCTTAGCTGTGGTCATAGGGGAAGCTGGACAGTCCAACATTGCCCCACAGCCAGTGGGCTATGCGGCTGGATTAAAAGTGAGTAATACAACACCTTTTTTCAGCATAAAGAAACTGGCAGTTAATTTTTTCATAATTCTGATAATCTTTTGCTCTTTATGGAGCTAATGGGTTTTTACATTCTGAGGTATTGATCATCTCGGTTTTTATTTAGACAACTGTTGTGTAATGAAGATTCAGTGGAGTTCTAATTTAAAGAAACTCAGGGTAGGTTTTGATGCTTGGGCAGGGGAGGAAACACTTGCAGAGAACACAGAGAGAGTAGTTAGTCCTAAAAGAAATCTTAACCTAGTGCTAACCTTTAAGTCCTACTGAATTTAAAAATTTTGTACTGAGGGCGCCTGGGTGGCTCAGTTGGTTAAGCGACTGCCTTCGGCTCAGGTCATGATTCTGGAGTCCCTGGATCGAGTCCTGCATCCGGCTCCCTGCTCGGCAGAGAGTCTGCTTCTCCCTCTGACCCTCCCCCCTCTCATGTGCTCTCTCTCTCATTCTCTCTCTCTCATAAATAAAATCTTTAAAAAAAAAAAAATTTTGTACTGAAATTACAGTACCATTAGAATTCTCTAAGCTTTTTATTACTATCACTATTAATAATACTTTACACTTACGTATTTCTTCATGGTTTTGGGGACTCTAACATATTTGAAAGTTTCCAGAGTAGTAATGGGGTTCCAGTAGGCAGGTTCTAGATTGACCTTCTCCTTTTCTCTTGTATTTGGTGAGGGGACTCAGCATTCATCCGGAAAGCTTTCCCTTGCTTTCTTGCTTTGATTCTTACCCTTCTCCATCCTTTTAATTCCCTTGCCTTAAGGACCTGACTGCCTGGCACCTTACGGGTATGTATAACACCTATATATAACCAGAGTTTGCCAAGGTCTCTTTTAATAGAGACCTGTGTTAAATATTATCAATAATAACCTCAATAGGAAGAGGCTTCCTTAGTTTTTCCATAGTGAGAGAAGAGGATCTTCTGATCAAGCCTATAGATAATAAATCCTCCATGACAGGGACAGATGATAAGGTAACTTATTTTAAAGAGAAATTTCATACAACCCACATATACCACCACTTCAATATTACAGTTTATCTTCTGGCCTGTTACTAGTAAAAAACTTGTCACACATCTGCCTGAAACCAGTTCCATTCCCAGTGAACTAGTTCTGGTCCCCTCAAGCCAGTGAAGGTTAAAGTTCCAAGAATCCTGTCCTCTCATACATTTTTTTTACCACCAGCATATAGACACACAAGAACAAATGAACAGTGAACAAATGAACAGTGAACATCAGCATACAAAAATTTCTCCCACTTAAAGCAAATGAAAGAAATTTTGAACAAATTTTTTTTAACCTCCTCTTCTCATCATCTACCACCTTAATTTTTTTGCTGCTTTTTGCAGCAAAACTCCTCCAAAGAATTGCCAACATTTTATCTCTAATTGTTTCCTTCATATTCTCTTACACCCGGCCCAGTCAGGTGCTTAGCCTGACTCCCCAGAGAATGCTGTGCAGGTCAGCAGTGTTTCCCATCTTGTTTTGCTTGTCACTGGTTTTTGAGACAGTTATTATTCTTTAATGTTTCTTTCGCTTGACTTCTGAAGTGCCATACTTTTGTTTTTTTCCTTGCCTCACTATTTGCTCACTCCCCTGTGCCTCCTTTGCTGGTTCCCCCTAATGATCTTGTCCTTACATTGCCTCCCTCGTGAGTTGATAGTGTCTGGTGGCTTTAAATACCATCTGTGTCTGGACAGTTTCAAGTTTCTATCTCCAGCAGAGGCCTCTCATGTCAACTAGATTTATGTAAAAGTTGCCTTCTCAACCCCTTAACTTGAATGGCTCAAACTTAACCATGTTTAGCATCCATCTACTTTAATTTCCTCCAAGCCTGCTCCTCTGGCCTTGTCCATCTCCGTTCATTGATGGCAGAACTCTCCTTCCGTTTTCTCAGGTGAGAAACCTTGGAGTCACCCTTGACTCCTCTCTTTACCTATGTCCAGTTCATTAAGAAATCTTGTTCGTCCTCCACCCTTGTTCACAGTGTGTCCAGCATCTGACTGCTTTTCACATGCCCGCTGCCACTGCAGTGTCTTGATGGAACCTTGCCATTGCCTTCTACTAGGCCCTCCGATTTTAGGGTTGTCTGATAGGGTAACCTTGTGGCCCTCTAAGTCCTTCTGAATGGAGTAGCCAGGTGATCCTTTCAGGTCACAGAGCGTGTCACTTGTGTTTCAGCACATTGTAAACCCACATTCCTTACGGTGGCTTCCACAGCCCCACACAGTCTGGCTGACGTGGCACTTGTTCCCTGTCTGGCTGCCTCTCCGGCTGGTCTTCCCTTGCTCACTCGCGCCAGGCATGTTGGCTCCCTTCTAGCTCTTCCTGCTTGACTGGCATGCCCTCGCTTAGCCTTTGCACTAGCTCTTTCTTCTCTCGGGGACATTCTCCCTCAAATGTGTACTTGGTTGGCTCTCTTAAACCTTCTTTAAGTCTTCAATCTTCCTTGCACGGCGCGGCCTGTCCTGACTGCCTGTTTAGTACTGCATTCCACACTTGTGTACCAAGATCACCCTTCTGTGCCTCTGTTTTCTTTCCTGTAGTACTCAGCACCTTCTCCTACACTCTGTCATTGTGTTTTATAGTGTTTTCCCACAAGAATTAAGGTCCTTAAGAGCAGGAATTTTGGTTTGGTTCACAGATGTGAACTCTTAGATGTCCTTTAGAATGAATATCTAGCAGTTTTATCAAAATGTCTAAACTGTAAACATCAGAATTAAAAGTGTAAGGGTATGTTTTTAAAATTAATCATTTATTTCCTCAAGTTAGCAGTCTAATACAGAAAACATTTTCATTGTAGGATCTGCTTTCAATTTTGGTTTAACACCCAATCAGTTTCACGCGAAGAATAAAGATTTTTCACTTAATAGCACTCCAGCAGCCCACCTGTTACAGTACCTTGATCGAACCTCCACAATCAAACAGTGGTCTTCAAACTGGTCTAGAAGAACCTCTGTTGATACACAAAGATTTTACAAGATCTAAGGAGACCCAGAGAGTTTTAAGGAACCCAGCTTCTTCAGCTTCCATATGTACTCTTGCCTAAAAATTTTCTGCCTGAATATGTACCTGTGATTAAGGCAACTTGTTCTCCTTTCCCATCTCCCCCTTAGGAAGCCCTATTCTCTCCCTTTGGGAAATGAAACATACCTCTTACCCACCAAATAGTCACGTGATACATTGCCTCCGAACATAAAAGACTCCTGAGTGTCGTCTGAAGGGACAATTCAAAATTGTTTTTGATGTTAGGAATACAAATAACATAATGACTGGGTAAAACCCTTTTGCAAGTCATATGGTTTCCAGTTGTTTGTTCCCATCAAAACTGAAGAGGGACCAGACAGAGTTGTCAGCTGATAGGTCATTAATTTTTGATGATAAATCACCATGTGATGATATTTGGAATATAACTCAAAATTTTCATGGTTTTTAAAACGTGTCTTAAATATTTTGTTACATTAAATATTATTACATAGAAGATACTTAAAATCATTAGGTGCTGTTCTTAAAAGGCTGAGATTTTTTTCTAAAAGAAAAACCTCATCTTCTAGGTAATATTAATACTTCAGTTTATGTGGTGGTTTTATTAGTGTTTGACAGATTCATTTTTGCTGTTGGTTTTTGCCCTTCAAATTCAAATATTTGGGTTTCTTTTCTATAATTTTTAATAAAAGCTTAAAATCAAAATTCATTGAAACTGATGCATGCATAGGAAAATCATTTACAAATTTATCAGCTGTTTTTTTCAGAAGCAGTAGAGGGAGCTAATGAGAAGAAAAGTAATGTAGAATCCTAGAATATTAAAATTTGAACCCAGATTTTTTTACTCCCCATCAGACTTTATTTGAAGTAAATGATTGTTTGAAGGAAAACTTAGGTTTAAGGAAATAAATCTGCCATAAGTAACATTAGGGAGCTTCTGAAACTTATGTGCCAACCATTAATTTCATTGCAGAGCCAGTCATAGTTATGACCACTGTTTTATAACTTACTTTGGGCGCCTGCGTGGCTCAGTTGGTTGAGCGACTGCCTTCGGCTCAGGTCATGATCCTGGAGTCCCAGGATCGAGTCCCACATCGGGCTCCCTGCTCAGCAGGGAGTCTGCTTCTCCCTCTGACCCTCTTCCCTCTCGTGCTCTCTATCTCTCATTCTCTCTCTCTCAAATAAATAAATAAAATCTTAAAAAAAAAATAACTTACTTTACCAAAGATGTAGGTAATATTTATATGCAGGTAAGAAGAAGCATGGAATTTTGATTAAACCAAATCGCTTAGTATAAACTCTTCAGAGTACAGGATAAGCTCTGGGGGCCTTTCTGTATCTTCCGTTTGAGATAATTACTTCAGTGTGGCCTCAAAACTACCTAATTCTTGATTCCTTACACTTCTGAAAATAAAGTTAAAATTTTATTCTCAAAACATTGGTAGGGGCTGATCTTAAAGTGTCTATTTTTGTGATTCCAAAAGATGCCACACGTAATTAACATCAGAGGAGAAGAGGCACATTATAACCCCCTCTTCATTTTCCTTATGAAATATAAAGTCCTATGTTGTAGTATAGTAAAAAATGAACAAACTTAGTTTCCTGGAAACAAATCTAGGAATATTTTGTTGTAGTGCTTAGCTTAGATATCTTCAAAGAGTTAGGGATGAATCTCTTAAATATCCCACTAACTCCCTAATAGTTTTTACTGAATTAACATTTATTTAAACTTATAATCAAAATTCAACCATAACTGATTTCCTCTTGGGAGGAAAATGATTTAGGCAAATTTACATTATCCAGTATAACATCTTATCTGTTACATTTTCTTTCAAATTCAACAGCTGCCTCAAATTCAACAGCTGCCTCCTCATTCACTGTTAGTAGATTTACATCATTCAGATTCTTAACATGAGTAATAAAAATTTTTAAGAAGGCCCTTATTTCTTCCCTTCTTCGTTTTTTCATGTAGTATTTTCTTATTGAATGTCTCTAGGGTTAGACAGTTGTGCGTGGTACTAGAGAAATAAGAATGAGCAAAAATACAGTCGATATTAGTATAGCTTAATTCATACCTTCTTTCATCCTTAATCTTTATAAGCCAGTGTCTTAAATTGGTTTACCCATTTTCATGCACTGGTCACCTTCTCTTCTTTATTTCTGTTGTCTCTGAAGTAAGTCTAGTTGTCTTCAGAAGTGTCCTAGCTTTTAAATTTTTCATTTGATGAGAATTGACCACTTTTTCTCATTCACTACTTATCTCTGTTGTCCATAGGAAAAGTAGGCTAATGTATTATCCATGGTAGTTTTATTCAAAAACAGAATGCATTTTGTCTTGCTTTTTGAACACTTACTGTCACTTCTCTTATGATCACTGTTTATGAAGTGATTCAGATAAAGTAGTAAATAGCAACTTTACTAAAAACTTGTAGTTTTCTACCATAAGAAATGTATTGATGATTTTGAGTTATCTATATAGTGTTCTCAGCCCCTCAGTTTTGTTGCATAAATGGTAAATAAGTTTTGGTGCAATGTATACATTTGCAGTTAAATATAAATCAGCTGCCATTTTGGTGCATATTTTAAGGCTATATTTAAAGGAAGTCAGAAGGAAGACAAAAAAAACATTCACTTTGATACGATTGCCTACCTAGATACCTCAAGGGAAAATTAATTAAAAACTACTAGGACTGAAAAAAGATTTTTATCAGTAAGATATCCCCTTGGCAGATTAACATTAAGAAGTACATAGTTTCATTTTATTAGTAATAACCAAGTAGAACATTAATATAAAAAAAATCCATTCGTAGTAGCAACCAAAATAATAGTGTATGTGGGAATAACTTGGAATATGCTCTATAAACTGTTAATACTGAGGGGAACATGATTGGACTTTTGTACTATTTACTCTTTATACTTCTGCATTGTTTGAATGTTTACAATGGGTATATAGGTGTTCGTGTGTAAATGTATTTGTTTATTACTTGTATAACCATATTAGTATATTTAATACTGAATAATTAGAAATGGTTTCTAACCTACATGGTTGTCATTCAGGGTGCCCAGGAACGGATAGACAGCTTGCGTCGAACTGGAGTGATCCATGAAAAGCAGACTGCTGTGTCAGTAGAAAACTTCATTGCGGAATTGCTACCTGACAAGTAAGAGGCTTTTTTTTTTTTTTTTAACATAATTACAAGTTTGTTTTCTTGTAATGAGAACTCTCAAGATCTCTCTTAGCAATTTTCAGATATACAATACAGTATAAAGTGTAGTCACTGTGCTGTACATTTTATCCTCATGACTGACTTTATAACTGAAAGTTTCTTTTAACAACCCCCTTCACTCGTTTTACTTGCCCCCCCCACCCACCGCCCTTCCAACCATCAGTCTGTTCTTTGTATCTGTGAGTTCATATTTTTTTATTCTGCGTAAAAGTGGGATCATACAGTATTTTTCTGTGACTTATTTCCCTTAGTATAACGCCCTGAAGGTCCATTCATATTGTTGCAAATGGCAAGATTTTCTTCTTTTTCCATGGCTGAATTGTGTGTGTGTGTATGTGTGTGTGTGTGTGTACACCACATTTTCTTTATTCATTCTTCCATTGACAGACACTTAGGTTGTTTCCATGTCTTAGTTATTGTAAATAATGCTGCAGTGAACATGGATTGGGGGGGTGCATATATCTCTTCAAGGTAATGTTCTCATTTCCCTCAGATAAATACACAGAAGTGGAATTGCTGGATCAATATGGCTCATTTAATTTTTTGAGGAACCTCCATATTGTTTTGTACCAGTTGACATTCTCAACAAGGGCTTGCTTTATCTCCATATCTTTTCCAATACTTATTTTTTTGACTTTTTGGTAATAGCCATCCTAACAGGTGTAAGGTGATGTCCCATTATGGTTTTGATTTGCATATCCCTGATGATGAGTGATGTTGAGCATCTTTTCATGTACATGTTGGTCATCTGTATGTCTTTGGGAAACTATTCAGAGCCTCTGTCCATTTTTTAATTGGATTGTTTTTTCTTGAGTTCTTTGAGTTTTTTAATCTATTTTAGATGTTAAACCTCTTATGAGGAATGTGATTTGTTAATGTTTTTTCCCCTTTAGTAGGTTGCCCTTTCATTTTGTTGATGGTTTCTTTTGCTGTGTAGAACCTTTTTAGTTTGATGTAGTCTTACTTAACTGATTTTTGCTTTTGTTGCCTTTGCTTTTGGTGTCAAATCCAAAAAATTATCACCAAGACTGATACCAAGCAGCTTACTCCCTCTTGTCCTCTAGGAGTTTTATGGTTTCCAGTCTTAAGTTCAAGTCTTGAATCCATTCGAGTTACTTTTTGTGTATGGTGTAAGTAGTCCAATTTCCCCAACACCCATTTATTGTACAGGCTGTCTTCCCATTGTATATTCCTGGCTCCTTTAATTGACCATATATGTGTGGGTTTATCCCTCAGCTCTCTATTCTGTTGGATTGATCTTTGTGTCTGTTATTAGGCCAATACCATTCTTTTTTGATGAGCATAGCTTTGTAATATAGTTTGAAATCAAAGAGTGATATGCTGCTTCTTTCTCAAGATGGCTTTGGCTATTCAGGGTCTTGTGGTTCCATACAAACTTTAGGGTTGTTCTATTTCTGTGAAAAATGCCATTGGAATTTTTTTTTTTTTTTAATTTCATTTATTTATTTGACAGAGAGACAACGAGAGAGGGAACACAAGCAGGAGAGTGGGAGAGGGAGAAGCAGGCTTCCCACTGAGCAGGGAGCCCTATGTGGAGCTCGATCCCAGGACCCTGGGATCATGACCTGAGCTGAAGGCAGCCGCTTAATGACTGAGCCACCCAGGCGCCCCTGCCGTTGAAATTTTGATAGAAATTGCATTGAATCTGTAGATTGCTTTATGAATAGTGTGGACATTTTAACAGTTTTAATTCTTCCAATCCCTGAGTCTGGAATATTTTTCCATATATTTGAGTTTTCAGTTTTTTTCATCAATGTCTCATAGTTTTCAGAGTAGAGATCTTTCACCTTGGTTAAATCTATTCCTCAGTGTTTTGTTCTTTTGGATGCGATTGTAAGTGGTATTGTTTCATTTTTTTCTTTTTGATAGTTTATTAGTATATAGATATTGCAACAGATTTTGGCATATTGATTTTTTATTCTGCAACTTTACTGAATTCATTTATGAGTTCTAACTTTTTTTTTTTTTTTTTTTTAGTTTTTAGTGTTTTCCTGTATGTAGCATCATCTGAAAATAGTCAACAGTTTTCCTTCTTCCTTTCCAATTTGGATGCCTTTTATTTGCTTTCCTTGCTTAATTAATTGCTCTGGTAAGGATTTTCAATACCATATTGAATAATGGAAGTGGAAAGAATGGGCATCCTTGTCTTGTTCCTGATCTTAGGGGAAACACTTTCAGCTTTTCATTGTTGCATATGATACTAGCTATGGGCTTGTCATATGTGACCTTTACTATTGTGAGTACATTCCTTCTAAACCTGTTCGGAGAGTTTTTATCATTAACAATTGTGTTGAATTTTATCACGTGCTTTTTCTGCATCTGTTGAGATGATCGTATGATTTTTGCCCTTGATTTTGTTAATGTGTTGTATCACATTGATATGTGGATGTGGAAACATCTCTACATCTCTGCAGAATAAATCCTATATCATGTGTGTGATCCTTTTAATATATTGTTGAATTTGGTTTAATATTCTGTTGAAAATTTTTACTTATATGTTTCTCATGGAAATTGGCCTTTGATTCTCTTTTCTGTTGTGTCCTTGTCTGATTTTAATATGCTGTAATGCTGGCCTTGTAAAATGAGTTTGGAAATGTCCCTTATCTTATTGTTTTGGAAGACTTTGAGAAGCATTGGTAGTAATTTTTCTTCAAATGTGTGGTAGAGTTCACCAGTGAAGGTGTCTGGTCCTGACTTTTGTTTGTTGGGAGGTTTTTGATTACTAACTAGAATTTCCTCACTAGAAATCGATCTGTTCAGATTTTCGATTTCTTCATGATTCAGTCTTGGTAGGTAGTATGTTTCTAGAAATGTATCCATGTATTCTAGGTTGTCTAGTTTGGTGGCATATAATTATTCAGTAAGAGGCTTACCCTTTTGTCTGTCTTATGAGCAAAATACGATTGGTCCTGGGGGGCTGACACTGAATACCTAGTAAAAAAATGTATCCTATTTTAGAAAAAATTATATTGTGGTCTAGCTATATCATTTAACTAGCTGTGTGATCTCTAAAGCTCAGCTCACATTTCTACCCAGGTTTCTCCTTTTTAATTATAAACTGGAGATAGTAATGCCTGCATTGTAAGATTGTGTGTACAATCACTGAATATGATAGCACTAAATTTGAGAGGATACAATTCTGTATTGGCTTAGAGGAAATTGATCACCAGTAACCAACATAGTCATTCACACAGTTACTCGGCATAATGGAAGGTATGTGCAACAGGGCCTGGTGGCAGTCACCAGGTTTGAAATCTAGCAATGATGCCTATCTACTTAGTTTGGAGAATATTCAGAGAATAGGATTCGTTATGGTCTTGAAGGGCTTTGTACTTTAGATGGCTTTTTTATGGAAGAAATTATTTTTAACATGCTGAATTTATTTATACTGAAAGAGCTTCCCAGCTGTTGAAATTGGTCTCTTTTGTAATCACATTTGGTTTTGTTACATTTTTTGTTTATTTAGTATTGAGTAGCATTGTGCCTGGTACTTTATGGCTATAGTATATTAAAAACGTTCTCCAACTCTGAGGTTATACTGTTGACCAGTTGGGAGAAAATATGTACACAGATGAACAGTTTTAAGTACATAAAATAATCTGTAATTTTTTGCTGATAGGAAATGTTATATACAATTCGAGGAGAAATAACAGTGTAGAGGTAGCGTCGGATGAGATTCGTGAGTGATTGGGACTTGGACGGGATTGTGAAGAGTAGGTAAAATTTGGATAAGTGGCAGGAATAGGACATTCTGAGTGGAAGAAAAGCTTGAAGATGATGAAGAGGATTCTGGGGTCAGTGGTTACATTAGCTTTGCTGATCATTTGTTGGATTTAGGAAATCAAGAAGTGGTTTGGAGACAGACGTGTGAAGAGCTTTGAATGGTAGGGTGAAAAGCTTCTTTCTCCAGACTGCTTTGGCTATTCAAGGTCTTTTGTGGCTTTATACATATTTTGGTATTATTTGCTCTAGTTCTGTGAAGAATACTACCAGTATTTTGATAGGGATGCATTGAATATGTAGATTGTTTTCGGTAGTGTGGACATTTTAATGCTATTGATTTTACTACATAAGCATGGAGTATCTTTCCATTTGTGTCACCTTCCCTTTTTCTTCATTGTCTTACAGTTTTAAGAGTACAGCGTCTTTCATCTTCTTTGCTAAATATATTCCTAGGTATTTTATTCATTTGATGCACTTGTAAATGGGACTGTTTTCTTAATTTCTCTTTCTGCTACTTTGTTATTAGTATACAGAGATATACCAGATTTCCATGTGTTGATTTTATATCTTGCAACTTCACTGAGTTTATTAGTTCTTTTAGTTTTTTGGTGGCGTCTTTAAGTTTTCCTATACATAGTATCATATTCTCTTTCATTATTGATGGTTTGACTTTTTCCTTACCCAATTTGGTTGCCTTTTATTTATTTTTTCTTGTCTGGTTTCTGTGGCTAGAACTTAGTGCTCTGTTGGATAAAAGTGGTCAGAGTGGACACCTTTTCTCAGTCTTAGGGGAAAATCTTTTAGTTTTTCACCATTATGATGTTAACCTATGGGTTTGTCATATATGGTCTTTATTATGTTGAGGTGTGTTCCCTCTAAACCCACTTTATTGGGAATTCTTATCATGAATGGATGTTGAATTTTATCAAGTGCTCTTTCTGCAATTACTGAAATGATCATACGGTTTTTATCCCAGGTTTTGTTAATGTGATATATCACATTGATTTGCAAATGTTGAACCAGTCTTGCATCCCTGGAATAAGTCCCACTCGATTGTTGTGATTATTTTAATGTATTGTTGAATTTGGTTTGCTAATGTTTTGAGGATTTTTGCATCTGTGTTCATCAGGGATATTGGCCTATAACTTTCTTTTTTGTAGTGTTCTTGTCTAATTTTGCTATCAGGTTAA